CTCTTATCAGGGAGTACATCGATGTGTTCGCCTGGAATTATGAAGATATGCTAGGACTCGATCCAAACGTAGCAGTGCATCGTCTCAATATCAAGTCGGATGTCAAACCTATCAAACAACAAAAAAGACGGTTTCGTCCGCAAATGATGGAAGCAATCGAGGCCGAAGTTAAAAAGCTTATTGACTCGGGCTTCGTCAGGGAAGAGCAGCATCCAGAGTGGCTTGCCAATATCGTCCCGATCCTTAAGAAGAACGGGAAGATCAGTGTTTGTATCGACTTTAGAGACCTCAATGTTGCCTGCCCAAAAGATGACTTCCCCCTTCCCATCACAGATGTCATCATTGACAATACGTGTGGGTTCGAGAGGATGTCTTTCATGGATGGTTTCTCTGGTTATAACCAAATAAAGATGCATCCAGATGATGAAAAGCATACCGCGTTTAGAACACCCCTCGGTGTTTTCTGCTACACGGTCATGCCCTTCGGCTTAAAAAATACAGGTGCCACATATCAGCGAGCCATGTCAAAGATTTTTCAGGAGCATCTTCTGAAGACTGTCGAATGCTACGTGGATGATTTGGTCGTGAAAAGTCGTGATAAGAAAGATCACATTAAGGACTTGAAGACCATGTTCGACTTAATGCGAGCCCATCAATTGAAAATGAATCCTACCAAGTCTTTCCTCGGAATGTCCAGTGGTAAATTCCTGGGATTTGTCGTCACCACCAAAGGTATTCACATCGACCCTGATAAGGTAAAGGCAATTAATGAATTGCAGCCCCCGAGAAACCTCAAGGAGCTCAGAGGACGCACCGAAATCAGGCAAACCGTTCTTGATTTATGTCAAGGCGACGAGCCACTCATTAAGTGCATTACTTGCACAAGATGATGATAACGGTCATGAGCAGGCGGTATATTATTTAAGCCGAACCATGGTAGGCGCTGAATCTCGATATCCTATGATTGAGAGAGAATGCCTCGCTTTAGTGTTCGCTATTCAGAAGATGCGGCATTACCTGGTTGGACAGACCATTTATGTCATCTCTAAAGTTAACCCAGTCCGAGTATTCATGACTCAACCAGCTTTCATGAACTGGCGGTTAGCAAAATGGGCCTTACTCTTGTCCTAATATGACTTACATTTTAAATAACAGAAGTCAGTAAAAGGACAGGCCATCTGTGATCTCCTGGCAGCTAATCCAACTATGGATACCGCCGAGATATATGACGACCTACCCGATGAAACCCACGAAGTCAACGCAACTTCGCACCAGCAAGTATGGCGTTTGTACTTCGACGGCGCTTCACGAGTAGCTAATGTAGCAAGTGCTCCTGGAGGTTCTAAGATTTCTTCCGGAGTTGGAGTTATCTTAGTTTCCCCAGGAAAACACGTGATGCCTCGAGCTTACTCATTGACCGAACCGTGCTCAAATAACGTAGCCGAATATAATACATTACTCATAGGACTCGGTTTCACCAAAGAACTGGGGGTTGAGTATCTCAAAGCCTTCGGTGATTCTCAACTGACAGTTAAACAAGTTCAGGGAGAGTACGAGGTCCGAAGCCAGGATTTAATACCATACCATAAGATGGCAGTGGAGATGGCAGAATCATTCGAAGGATTCTTTATCGAACATATTCCACGGTTGCAGAATACCTACGCAGACGCGTTAGCGGCATTAGCCGTATCCCTGGCACAGCCTCCTGAAACAAAACAGTTTGTTACAGTAAGGACTCACCAACTCCTAGTGCTAATTTATGATGAAGATGGCGAAGAAGAAGATATTAAGGAAACACATTCAACTCAAGTTGAGTTCGAGCCCCGAGATTGGCGTTTCCCCATCATCGATTACGTCTTGCATGGAATCTTGCCAGAAGACGTGAAGGAAAGAGATTCAATCCGACGAAGAGCATCAAGATTCTACTATAATACGGAGAATCGAACGCTATACCGCAGGGGGTACGATGGGTTGCTAGCACGTTGCTTATCAACTAAGGAAGCTGAAGAAGTCCTTAGAGAAGCACATGAAGGAGAATGTGGCGCACACCAACCTGGCCCCAAGCTTTATGACCGCATCAGAAGAATGGGATATTTTTGGCTATTCATGATGAGTGATGCAGTCGCGTATGCATGAAAATGTCATGCGTGTCAAGTACATGCAAATTATATGCATCAACCTCCGGAGCACCTGCATCCTTCGGTTATGTCTTGGCCGTTTGAGACCTGGGGAATGGATATTGTTGGTCCTATAAATCCCCCGTCAGTCAAAGGTGATCGGTTCATCCTGGCAATTACCGACTACTTCTCCAAATGGGCTGAAGCGGTTCCTCTCAGAGAAGTCAAAACGAGCAATGTCATTGCATTCATCAAGCACCATATCATCTACCGGCATGGTGTCCCGAGACGAATCATACATGACAACGGTCCTCAATTCGTCAGCAATGCGTTCATCAAATTTTGCGAAAAGTTCAAAATTCAGGACATCTCGTCGACAGCTTACAATCCCAGCAATGCGTTCATCAAATTTTGCGAAAAGTTCAAAATTCAGGACATCTCGTCGACAGCTTACAATCCTACAGCGAATGGATTAGCCGAAGCCTTCAACAAGACTATCATAAAGCTTTTGTCGAAACTCGTGAAAGCTAATAAACGAGACTGGGATGATAAGCTTGGTGCGGCTCTATGGGCCTATCGCACCACGGTGCGCACACCAACGGGAGCGACCCCATATTCACTGGTATACGGATGTGAAGCAGTTCTTCCATTGGAGATTCAAATCCCGTCACTTCGAATTGCCCTCGCGACTCAAATGACGACCGAAGAGCAACATCAGAAGCGCCTTGAAGAACTTGAAAGGCTAGATGAGAAGCGTTTAGAAGCTCAACAGCATATCGAATTCTACCAAGCCAGAATCTCTAGAGCTTTTGACAAAAAGGTTCGAGGTTCGACAACGGAGCTTCAAAGAAGGGGATTTGGTTCTAGCAGAAAGGCGGCCTATGATCCTTAACTCTAAGAAGAAGGGTAAATTTGAACCCAAATGGGAGGGACCATTCGTAGTAGAGACGGTTTACTCGAGTGGCGCATATCGCCTAGTCACCAAGGACGGCGACCGGCTTATGATGCCGATAAACGGCAAGTTCCTGAAAAAATACTATCCTTAGCATCTTCAGGATAACCAATGTATCGGGAAGTTCCTGGAAGAATGCCATATGTGGTATTCTTAGGGATAACCCAATCATTGTAGAAGTGATGAATAAGAAAGCCCCGTTCGAATTCTGAATGTCGGAATATTTCTTCTTATTATCAAATTCTCTAACTCTCATGAGTTATTTTGATGAGATGAGATCCAATCCTTTAACAGGTTAATTTTTCCTCACCAAATCACCCGCTGATCAAATTAATCAACGGGAGATTCACCAAAATTTCTACCCGCCAGTCATCGGCAACTCTCAGACTCAACATGTTAGGTCTTAATCACTTAACATTGAAGTCCCCCCGTGAGTGGTAGTACGAGTTGGCATTTTTATTGCTACCTGTATTTCACTCTCTTTGCTTTCAGGTCAAACCTATAAAAGTTAGGGCCAAAGCCAAATTCCCCTCTCGATTCCTCCCATGAACGAGAGGTCCACTTTCAGTTCGGACAATCAAACCTATAAAAGTTAGGATTGTTCCCAATCTCACTTAGTCAAGCCTACAAATAGTTAAGACTAAGACCGAGTCATTCCTTTTCGATAAACGAAAGTCTACCTTTGTTCTTTTTTCCACCAAACCTATAAAAGTTAGGGTCGAAATTGGGCTTTCTCCTCAATGAATGAGGGATTCTTTTGATTCAAATGACCAATCCTATAAAAGTTAGGGTCGTTTGAATCTTTCTGATTCTCAGAGTGGAGATCCCACTCTTAGTTTCATCTTTGCGGATTCTGGGGGTGGAGATCTCACCTTCAGTTTCCTTTCCAACTGTAGATAGAATATAAAATTCTTCCTCTCCCAATTTCCAGTCTGTCTTTGTTCTTAGAAAAGACACAATTCTCAACTTCCAATCTGGGCACTTTGTGCACGAGGAATTTTATCTCAACTCCTGAATAGAGATAAGCCTACGCCTAACACGCGTTGCCGGTTTAGTCTTTCACCGATTGAAAAAGACACCAAGGTCTAGACTTGGGGAATTTTATCCCGAAGCCTAAGTAGGGATGAGTCAACACCTAACACGTGTTGCCGGGTAGCCTATTCCCGTAACAAAGACGAAGCCTATGTATTCGACATCATAGCACAAAGTCTCAGAGAATTCACTCTCTTAGCACAACGTTACATGCGGAACGGATTTAGACAATCCGCATGCTAGCCCGATTCAAACGGTAATCGGTAAAGGCACGTCAAACCCGTTGAGGGCTGGGGGTTTGCCAAAAATCCCAAAGTCTATATCTAACACGCATGCCGGTTTAGTCTTTCACCAATTGAAAAAGACACCAAGGTCTAGACTTGGGGAATTTTATCCCGAAGCCTAAGTAGGGATGAGTCAACACCTAACACGTGTTGCCGGGTAGCCTATTCCCGTAACAAGGGCGAAGCCTATGTATTCGACATCATAGCACAAAGTCTCAGAGAATTCACTCTCTTAGCACAACGTTACATGTGGAACGGATTTAGATAATCCGCATGCTAGCCCGATTCAAACGATAATCGGTAAAGGCATATCAAACTCGTTGATGGCTGGGGGTTTGCCAAAAATCCTGTATATCTTATCATCGCTGGGTTCAAAATATCATAAAGGAATCAAATACAGAGTCTCTATTAATAGATTAAGTCAAAGCATACAATAAAAAGCTCGTTAGCCCGAAGGCAGCTGGCGGCTAAGAACATGAGACTCTAAACTAGAAAGCCTATCTATATAACTCTGCTCAAGTTCTGCCTGCAGACCAGCTCGGACAGATTCTTCAGAACTGCTCAAGATCTTCACGGCTTCATTCTTCAGCTTCATTAATTTCTCCTGTGTAGATCCTAGCTTCTCGAGTCCTGTCCACGAGAACGCTCTAATCCAGCCAGGTCTTCTGCAATAATAGTAACGGACTCCTCGGCGTGCTTCAAGGCCTCCTTCAACCTAGCCATTTCCTCGCGGCCGGAATCCAAAGAGCTGAGTAACCCGGCTCTATCTGTATCCTTCCTCGCCACAGTAGCCACCAGCTGCGCAACAGAATGCTCATGTGACTGAAGCTCACTGCCAATGGAAGATCTCAGGTCGCGCCACTGTGCCAGCCTATGCTCCATCTGAGAGGACACGAAGGAAGAAGCTCCATTAGCCTTCAGTTCCTTCAACTCTCGGATCTCCGACTCCAGAACAGTAAAATCGGCGGTGAAGGAATCGGCCAACTCTGGATACCCTTCTTCTCTGATCATCGTCATGTAGCGAGAAAAGGAACGCCTGAACTGATCGAAATAATATCCTCGATGAAGAAGTTTCTCGATCATGCCGTTAAAAAAGGCAGTAAAAAAGCCGAGGTCTGTACGAAAAATGTCTTTGTCGGGATCGGTATCGACCAAAAGGACGCGGACATGCTCATATAGAGATGATCGAGATCCTACAAGCAACAGTGTGGAAAGCTAAGAGATCATCGAATACGATAAGAAAAATTTAAAGACAAATTCCGAGCATACCAACACCAACGGAGGTCCCCTCGGGCTGAGGTCTGACAGGCTCCGAGATACCGGCAGGAGTAGTCATGGAGGGTATATCAACCCCTGTAGGCAAACTATCCGTCCCAGAAACTGTAGTGGCATCAGGCACAACGGCTGGTCCTATAGTTACACTTCTTTATTAGTCAAAATGGAAATTTAGACAAATAAGGAGAATCGGGATGATAAGATCATCTGCATACCTGCAAGTCCATCGTCCTCAGGTACACGGGGAATGCCAGGAGTCATAAGAGTATCGGTCCCGGTGGCTGGTCCTATGATTACACACGTCTATTAGTCAGAAAATCAAACAAATGAAAAGGAGCACGACGTCCTAGATCGTATGCATACCTGCAAGTCCGTCACTCCGAGGGAAACTAGATATGCCGGGGATCATTACTGAATCAGTCCCAATGACTGGTACTGTGATATTAATCCTTCGTTAGTCAGACAAAAGATCAGGCAAAATGAAGGGAATCAGATATATACCTGTGAATGAATCACTCTCAAAGGGTGGTCCCACGGTTCCTCTGGTGGCCTGTTCAGCCAGCATGTCGACTAATAATCCAATGTCGGGTCCCGAGAAACTTGGTGCAGAAGCACACCCTTGTTCCTCGAAACCTACATCATGAAAGGCCTCATCCTCAACTGGCTTCTCTATCACGACATCTGCAGAATAATTTAAGTGTTGGATATATGTATAAGAAGATGGGAAAAGAAGGAAAAGCTCAGAGGTACCTGCAGAAGGAACAGAAAATTCTTTTTCCCCAATATCCATGCTTGGGTTCTTCAAGTTACCTGAAAGAAAGCGAAGCACAAAAAAATGATGAATCATGAATTCCCTAACTCTTCTAAATACTACTCGAGGAGGGTGTCATCGGATTTAGATATACCTGAACATGGAATGGTGGGCTCAATACTATTCACCTGCTCAGTATCAATGTTCGCATCGACATCCATGGAATCGTCACGAATAGCGTCACACATCTGCTGCATGAAGCTATCCAGATTATCAGAACCAGGGAATACAGGATCCGGTGGGAGTTCGCCCTCTTCATAGTGTCCTGGAACATAAAACATGATTATGAATCCCAGAAGGTAAACTATCTTAAAGCAATAAGATAATAAAATATTACCTTCCTCTCCGTCGGCGATGTCTCCTAAATCCACTCCATAGGGGCGCCGACCAACGTGTGGTTTATGAGCGGTCTTCTTCTTTTTCGGAATACCAGCCCTCATAGAACCAACGGGTCGTTCGTGCACAGACTTGCCACGCGTCTCAACCTGTGTAGGAGCTTTGCCGCTAGGCCTGGATCTCGAATAACGAGAAGCGAGCGACTCATGCTCATCGACTGTCCTACCTGGGGTGATAAGAGTCATTTCGTTAGGATAAGTGAATAAGACCTTTCGTTGATACCAATTGAGGTTGAGAAAGAAGACCAAAGAGCATAACAAACCCGCATTAAGTTCTTCTTCGTCAGTATCTATATCCACATACTCCTCCTCAGAAGTCTCGTCCTCATCATCAGTAGGAAGGAGCTCTTCATCGTCCTCCATCCTGTCTCTGCTCGAGAGAGAAGGTTTGGCAGGCTTCTTCCCCTGTTTCCTAGCAAGCTCAGCCTTACGAGCAGCCATCATAGTGACTTGAACCAAGTGCTCAGACTGCAACTCTGAAAGACTCCTCACGCCTATGGACTCATTGGCAGAAAGGAACCACTTGCAGCTCTATGTGGCAACGATTCTTCACCCGGAGAACGAGATACCCAACGCGGATGTTTACCAACCAGCGGAAACAACCAACGTCAAGAGCAGTCCGATTAGTTCTGGGTTTCTCCTCATCAATCAGCACATCACCATAGCGACCCGAAAAGCGAGGAAAACACTTGAAGAACTCCCAGCTCGTACGAACTTGAAGCTCTCGTTGTACATCACTGAATGTTTTCCCGAGCCATCTGCTCCTATCCAACAGCTGCATGAAAGGAACAGGGGCATCAACAGTGCTGGGCGCCGACATCAAGTCAGGACGGTGAAGAACAAGCCACGCCATCAGATACGCATAAGGAAGCTCGACCTTCACACAAATAAGCTCGGCCGACGGTTCGGAACCCACCTGCGCAAAACCATTGACCAGATGCCTAAGCCCACAATGGATACCAGCAATCATCGCTGGGAGCAGGGAAAGCTCCCTCCCATAAGCTAGCTGAACTGCAGGGAAGAGCACCTCGAGAGGTAAGGCGTCTGAAAGCTGATACGGAACGACACACTTCTTCAACCAGAGGGCAAGATAGCCTGCTAGCAGAGTCCTGGGCTCAATGGACTTCTGTGCACGACCAAGGAACGAACGAAACTTGGTTCCTACAGGAAAAGCTCCCTCAGCACTGGCAATGGTATAAGAGCGAGCCTCAGCCTTCTCCATCAACTCATTAACGGCGGTAGGTGTCAAAACATCTAACTCACGATCCAAATTCTGGAACAAATAGACAGCAAACTGCTTCAAGCTGATCTGCCTTTTCCTCTTCGCTTGAGTAGAAACCTTAATCAGAGAGGTGTGGTAATGGCAGGCAAGATCCCAAAGAGTATCGTACATATCGGGAGCATCCTTCTTCAGCCACTCCAATTGCTGGTTCGAGGGGAAGTACTCCTGGTATGGACAATCCCCCATTGGAAGGCCAGAAACTTGGTGCATCTCATGCAAGGCCATCCCCAACTCCCCACCACTAGTCAGAAATGTGTTGCTATCGGGGATATATGTCTCCAACAAAGCCAAGAAATGGCGGCAGCTGACCGGGAGTCCGTACATAGTGGCTCGTATAGGTGCGTACAACCCACTGCTCTTCAGATCATTCTCCCAACGTCCCAACACGTAGCTGGTCATGCGCGTCCACCATCCCTTGGGTTGTGAGAAAGCCCAACCATAGCATCTAAAATCTGGTGGAGGTAACCTCCTCCCAAGATGAGCCAGACGGTTCTTCACAGTAGGAGCGGTTGCTGATACCTCGCCTGGGGATGCGGTATTAAGACCCATAATCCCTGGTCGAAGACCGCGAATATAATGATACCCAACCGAACCAGGAGTGTCGAAGACCGCGAATATAATGATACCCAACCGAACCAGGAGTCTTATGTTGGGATGTGTACCCACAATGAACTCGATCAGCATCATCGGTAAGACGCCAAGACATCTGTCTCTCTACGGCCTGTCCCTCCAAATGAGTGAAAAAATACTGACGAGGAATGGAAGGAATATACAGGAGAGCTCCTTCGTCATGATTCAGCCAATGCTCCTCGGTAAGAATCAACTTAGCAGGATCCTCAATATGATCTCCGAACAGAAAACTGGGCTTCTTTAAAGCCTGAGTAGAAGTGGAATCCGCAGTAAAAGAATCATCCGTGATCAGCTGACGTAAGCAATGACGCCCTCCATCCCGTATCAAACGACAGGATTCGTCGGAACGATCTCTATCAAACTGGGGGAGTGGACCAATAGCCTGCCTGATGGAAACCGAAGAGAAAACCTCCCCACTACAACCGGTGGTAGCATGAGGAGAGAGATTGCCCGTGGGGAACTCGACTGCAACAAAACAAAGATAGAGTCAGAAAATCATCCATGAATTAAATCCACCTCATAAGAGAGCGAAATAAGATCATCCGCGGGGTAATTGGAGAGACGACTTTGAGTGTCTTACATTGGAAGAACGGTATGCATCATCACGTAAATAACGTGGTAACATACACCGACCTACAAAATGTAAGATGACACAAAATCGTCCCAATATACCGGAAGACTTAAATTGGCCAAGCAAAACAAGTCCGAAACCTCAACCCCCGCGAAGGAGAGTGTCGGCCCTTCCCGAATGACCCGCGAAGGGGACAAACGAGGGTGTAACAGAACCGCGAATTTCCCGAAACCTCGACCCCCGCGAAGGAGGGTGTCGGTTCTTCCTTAATGACCCGCGAAGGGATCAATCAGGGATACAGAAAATATAGATTCTCACCCCCGAAAAAGGATGCCGCTGGAGAGGATGCTGTGGGAATCTCTCCCTCGCTATGCTGCGAACGGGAACGACTCCTATGAGGTCGAGGTCGACGTGGAGACATGAAAAATCTGCAATGAAAATCAGCAAGTCAGGTATAATCATGAATCTGAATACCCGAAATTTAAAAGGGGAAACTAAGAACTTTAACTAAAGTCCTATGAATAAATAGGATTTTATAGTTGAGGTCTAATTAAACCTACAAATTTCGTGCATGCAAAACAATGATCATGATAAATTTCGGTGAAATACCCAAAATACCCCTCGTATTCAAGGCTAAATTCTAGTCAATGATACACTCGAATTGGATCATGGTCATCATATTTGTTCATCTAGCACCCCCAACATCCCACGATTTTGGTTAATTTTACAAATAAACCCTTTTGTAAAATTTAGCCAATTTTGCAAAAAGACCCCTCCACAAATTTCGGTTTAGTTTCCGCATGCCTTTATCAAAACTTTGGTCATGGATTTGTGGTCTAAACTTTTGAAATTTTAGCCCTAAATTTCAGCTCTTTTTGCAAATAAACCCCTCTACAAATTTTGGGTTGCTTTTTGCAAATAAACCCCTCAAACAACATTGATTCTTTGCATACAAACACCTCTCAAAGTTTGGCCAAATGGGTATAGAATTCTAACCCCAAATTTCAGTCCATATTTGCATAGAAAATCCTCAAATTTCAGTCCACTTTTGCATAAAAGTCCCCCAAATTTCGGCCCTATTGTAAGTTTTGCATAAAACCCCCAAATACTTGTGCATACACAACCCATCATCAAAGAGCCTATCTTTTAACTCATGAGAACAAAAAGCTAGGATCTTGGCATGTAAATTCATGTTATACCCCCATTACAAGCATAAAGCTACAATCTTTTCAAAAAAAAAAGAGAGCTTGTGAGAGGAAATTTACCCAAAACCAAGAAGCTTTCTTTGAACTTGAGGGTGAAGAAGGAACCCCAGTTGAGAGGAAGGAAAATTCAGCCAAAGAGGGGATGCAAAAATCCGAATTTTAGGCTTTTAAAGGGGAAGAGTTTTAATGGGTTTGGAGTTCTTAGAGGGAAACAATGGTGTATGGATGAAAGGAGGAAGAAGGAGTTTGAGAGGGAAAAGGATTCTCTTTTGAAAATTTGGAAAGAGGGGGAAAACAAAAGAGGAAACAAAACCAAAACAAGAAAGAAAACAAAAGAGGAAACAACAAAAAAAAGAAAGAAAAGCAAAACGGTCAACGCGTAACCCTAGGTCAACGACAGTCAACGCGTTGCAACCAATGTCAACATTTGACAATTCGAAACCCTATGGTCAACGCCGGTCAACGCGTAACCCTAGGTCAACGCCAGTCAACGCGTTGCGACCAAAAAGTTAACGTTCGACGTTCGAAACCCTAGGGTCAACGCCGGTCAACGCGTAACCCTAGGTCAACGCCAGTCAACGCGTTGCGACCAAAAAGTCAACGTTCGACGTTCGAAACCCTAGGGTCAACGCCGGTCAACGCGTAACAATTCGGACTGATTAACAAACTCACATAATCAAGGACAAACCTTTTTTTTTAATAAAAAGAATAAGACATGTTAGATATAAAGTATCTTAAAAAAACTTGATAAAACTCTCTCTCAAAACTCTAACTTGTGAAATCTTTTTCATGCAAGTACAACCCTTCACTCTTTATGAAACACCCTAAATTGATAGGCTGATAGCCAATTTTGCTTTAATAGTACACAAATTAACATGCTCATGCACACACATTAATTACACATGTGAATTAAGACTCATCCGCTGAATTTATAAGCTGCTTTAAGCGAGAATTGCAGCTGTATACAGAGCAAAACGCTTGAACACAACTCAAGAAGATGAGCAATCCTGCAGCGAGAAATGTGAGAATGGACCAAGAAGCATACACATACTTCTTCATCAACACCCTACACTTTACACTCCATCTACCCTCGTAGTACTCGTTCACATCCCTTATCGTCTTGTCCAAAAAACCTACTTTGGTCAGCCTAACAGATTTGCTCATCCCGTTCCACAACTCCGCTGCCTCCCCGTCGCTCTTCATCCTGTTCACGAGAATCCCGTTTTCTCTCAGAGTCTTCACGTCTTCCTCCGTGTCGATTACCCCATACATTAGCTCGGCGTAACGGGTAAAAACCATCGGCCCCGTTACGACGGACGCCTCATAAGCCACCAAGTTACGGAGTACGACCTCTGTGTTGTTGTCTAGGTTTATGATCGGGAGGTACAATGTGACGGTCTTCGCGTCGAATCTTATCGTCGTGAGATCTTTGCTGGTCGGAACAAACTTGACCCCTGCTCTGACAAGCTCTGTGACGGAGGGGATGTCGATTTCCTCCACCAATGGCGGTTGTTCTTCACCGTCTGATTCTCTGTCGTAATGAGATTTGGGCTTCCGAGTTGGCTGGGAGAACAAATTTTTGACGGGAAGTTTGATCAGTGAGAACACGGGTAGAGCTGTGATCATCTTCCACGGGCATTTAACGATGAACATAATGGGCCTAGAAAAGATCAGTCGCTTGATGTAACGGATTGGGGCACCATTTATTCTAGATAGGATTTTCCACAACAATTTCATAGCTTTCTGAACAACGGTAGGGTCACCTCTTATTTCTTCCTTGCTTTCAACATCAGTACCATTTTGTTCGTTAACCCCATTGATTTCACTTGCATTCTCCTTTACTTTAGGCACGATAGTCCAGTAAAGAAGCTCCAGCAAGTGAGCATGACGAGTAAAGTTATCCATCACCAGTATCAGAGAGTCAACCGTAATTTTAAAGGGCGAGACTTCTCTCACGAACTCTGTCAAAATGTTCGATAATTCTTCATCAGCGATGTCTTTTTGTGAGTAGACGAGTTTGAAGAGTTTTCGGAGGAGGAAGAGGGGGATTTGGTTTTCGAGCATTGTGATGTCCCTAACGATCATATTGAAGCTGACCTTTGCTCTCTCGTGCTCCATTCTTTTTGAAAGAGTAGTCCTTGGCTGTGCTTCTTGTTGAGCTTTCGGTTGATTTTTGAAGTAGATTGCTTGGAGGAATTCAAGCAAGAATGATCCGTCGATCGCCATCATCCATGCTAAGGTTTCTCCGTTGACGTGAAGTTGCCTGTGGGAAAAATATGAGAAGAATTGTTCAACAGACTGCTATGCTATAATTTTCTCAGTGTTTGATGCTTTATATGATTACCAAATAACTATTCGTAGCAGCTTATATAAACTATCTATATATGCAACTTATTATAAGCTCTAGCAATACCAAATTGACCTATTACCCAACTGTGGATAGACACCAGTTTGAAATGATTTAATTGGCACATACATATTAGAAAAAAAAAACTGTTAATTGTGGCGAGTTCCCATGATCTATTACCCAACTGTGGATAGACACCAGTAGTTCCACTCTTGCAAATAGACACCCGCCCCCCAGAAATAAAAAAGAAAATTAAAAGTCAGTGATGTTTTTTTTTTTTTTTTTTTTTTTTTGAAAATTAGACCTCGTGAGAATAAAACGTTCAAGAAGGTGTCTATCCGCAATTAACCCTATATATCAGAGAATTCAAGCTGACGGTACGTACTTGTGATAGTGGCAACGTATCTTATACTCCTTCTTCACGAACTTCTTA